TTTTGAGGTTCCACTTTTATTCACTCCCAAAAACTGCCCCATAAGCCACAGGAGCAGCAGAGATGGGCACTAAACCCACAACCCTGAGCTGCCTGACAACCTTTGGGTCCTTCTCTCTGCGCAGGAGCCACTTCCACGCCCCACAGATTTGCCATGAGCCTCGATACACGGCATCACAATAAAGATGCCGAAGCACCCTGATAAGTTACTTAAATTCTTTTAAAACCCCAAACTAGTCATTTTATTCATAGCATGGGATATGTTCATCAAAACAAATGTCTAACAGCCAGTGATTAGCACAGTGGTCATACTTTAAGTGTTTAATTTGCTACCAATACAGTTTTGCATTAGCAAGCCTGGAAAACAATTACAAATTACACAATTCAATTTTCCAAATGGATTATTCCATAACTAGACGGAAAGACTGTTTAAATTACTTCTGCTGTTTCAAGGCAAGATTAATACAATCGGATTAAAACTTAGATCCCCTTGAGGAACCAGTGTATTCCTGCCAGCAGGATGCAATTAGCTGGTTTTATATTGGAATATTAAGGATTCTTCTGGTACACTGCAAAGGCAAAAGCCCTTTAGAGAAACAGTTTTATTGCTGCATTCCCCCCAATGTTATTTTGTTAAAGCATATAGTAGCTTGTAGATATTTATTTATATTTACCAAATGAAAGCTAGACAGCTACCTGAACGGTAATTTTCTGCCCAGACTCTGTAGCCTGGATCCTAATTATTTTTCCTCCCTTGTGGGATCAAATGAATTAAGTGGGCAATTTGCTTTGCAAAAGCAAGTTTCCAGCGCACTTCATGAGCTACTGATGACTGTTCTCAGCTGACCTGTCTTTAAAAAGAAAGAAAGCACACATCACACATACATGTATTGACTTTGCTAAGTAAAAGTCTCTAGCCTATGGATTAGATTTAGAGGAAAGATAGATGCAGTGAATGCACGATTGATTTCGTATTTAAAATAGAGGTTTCTCTCTCTCTATATATATATACACATACACATTTGGATTCCCAAGAAAGTACATGTAAGATGATGGCAAGGACACCCTGACTTAAAGTTGCCTAACAAGTGAACATCCAAGTCTCTGGACCTGGAATAAAGAATGAATTCAGATATTTCTAATATGCATCCATTACGCTGAGCTAACTAATCATTATCAACCCTCCAGAAGGATCCAAGAGCTCCAGAGGATTCCCAGCTTGCAGCAACTGAGATCCAAGACTGTTGGTGCTTTAGGGATGGGAGAAAAATCTTTCCCCAGTAAAATGAGAGATAGGAAGAGCAGCCATGGGACAGGGAGAAAAGCAAGGGTTACACGAGCAAGCTTTGAGCAGGGAAAGATGTCAAAACTCAGCTTTTGGTGCAAGAACTGTGCAACAGGGCACAGATGGCACATATGCACACACAGCTTATGCACATGTGTGCACACACCCCCCAGTGTGACCAAAACACTGCTGAGCCCGTGATCCAGGACTCCAGTGGATAAACAGCAGACTGGATAAAATTACCAGGCAGCTTCTATGCCATCTCAGTCCACAGCAATTCAGATTTGGTGACAGGCACCACAGCGCCAGCAGGAGAAATATTCAAGCCAAGCTCTTCTCAGTTTGATAAATGGAAAGTAAGGTTTGCACTTTAATGCATCACAGAAAAAGAAAACAAGAACAACAATTTAACACTTCATTGAGGGAAGCTAGTGCTTTTGAAACCTTAGCTGCATTCACTATTTTTCTTTTCCTGACCTTTACATTTTTATGATGGATTAAAACTTTCCCAGGATTGATGAGGTGAGCAGGGACTCCTCAGTTTTCCACATGTGATGCTGCTTTCACCAAGATCTGAGAATCAGGCTTCAGAACTCAGGTAGGAGATTAGTGACCACATTTCTTAAACACTGGAAATCTATAAGGGTTTGGGAGGGTTTTCTCTCACACTGTTACCTCTCAGGCTGCACTACACTCATCCTTCAGTTCATTAGCACAAGCTTTTGACACAGTGACACTTGACACATTAACAGGACTGAATGGTCTTCTCATTTGTAGGCTTAACTTTGTCAGAGTCAGTGAGAAGCAGCTTTCTATGCACAGGTGACAAAACGTGAATAATCACAAAAAGGCTACGCACTATTAAGCCATTCCTACAAGCCGTTCCTGGTTAGCTGCATACAGATGAAGGCAACAGCTATGACCAGTACTCATGGCATCACACACGGCGTCTAGGATACCCAGTCCCATATATATGGGACATCAAAAACTGGCTAGAAGCTGTGTTAGATGAGGACTCTGCCATATTAAGTTTTTTAATTAGCTCTGCTTTTTATATGAACCAGCTCAACTATACAGCAGTAGTGACGTTATCCTTTTTTAAACACCTCATTGCATAACACTGTTAGAAGTACTTGCATTATTCACCACCTTAGAATTTCACACATTCACAAAGCTTAGTTAAGATGAAAATCACTTTTATCCACAGGTGCTCTCTTTGTGAGTTAGCTTGTTTTTGTCAGAAAGTGCTTTTTAACATTCATTAATTTCTCAGTAAGGTTCAGTAAAAATAAGCAGAACCTGTCCACACTTAGTCACTGACTCGAGAACTAGGAGATAGCCCCAGTTTCCATCTCAGTGGAAAACTGGAATGCTGCAGAGCCCCATTGCCAAATAGCAACATCAGACGTGAATGAGCCTGCAGTCTGCAATAACTGCGTTTAAACAGTTCTTCCTGCAATTCTTCTAGCACTGCTTCGTTTACAGAACATGCAAAGAGGAATGACAGATGTGGAGAACAAACAGTGATGACAACGTTAGAGTTCTTCCCCACAAATGGATATCTTGCTGCCCAGTCATCCAGCCTGTCTGCATCCCTAACATCTATCACAGCAGGCTCATCTGCACCATCCAGGCTGATACGGTGTTGGGAAGAGAAACCTCTCCATTTTATACAGGCAAACTATGGGCTTTCTGGTAGAAACCTTGATTTTGCATGCCTTATTTTAGCTCTACACACCCAAGACGTGAAGCAGAAGGAAGTTTAGGGGAAGGGTTCAGAGAAAGTGAGCTCTAATCTCAGCAGGTCCAAAACACCAAGAAATAGATAGAAGCTCAGATCTTAAGTATACTCAGCTTAAGATTCAGAACTCTGCCCTTCTTCCTCCCTCCACAAAAGGGGACTTAAGAAATGATTAGTTCACTCCGGCTAGAACCGGCAGCTTTCAGGAGCACATGCTGCATTCCAGTGTTCTACATTACATTTGTTTACTTCTCCAAAATGTAAGAGTGTCTATTCTCATCCCTAAAGAAATCTGAAAAGATTTGGGCTTAGGCCACCTTCCTAAAGCAAACCTTAGATTGTTAAGTCCTTATAAAAATAAACTCTCTGGCTACAGGAACAAAATGTTCCTGTAAGATGTTTTACTACTGTTTGAAGTGTTTTTTAAAATCAAAACTAAAGCCAAGCCTAGTCTTGACTGAAATGTCTGTAACTGTTAGTAGCACATATCTGACAGCTCGTGGACACTACTTTCAAAAGCTGAAAGAATAGACTGACGTTTTCAGTAACTGCAAAGTTCAGCCAGTCAAGTCCCAATAACTTGTGGCCGTGGAGTTTGGCCGTTGTTTATTCCTGTTAAATAAGCTACCAGAGAAGATAAGCTCATAGAAGAAAATAGTTGAACATTAAGTAGCTTAGTGTAAGTTTATGGGAACTTGATAAAGTTGAAAATCTGTTGAAGTTAAAGCTTTCTCTGGTGCTTCAGTCTGCAGATCCAGATGCAGGAAACTGCTTCTAGGTTATACATGTGACAAATGGCAAGAGCTAACCTACATATCTTCTTGAAAAGAAAACCCAGCCTCAGATTCCTCTTAGATTTCACATCCATTACTTAATTTGAACATCACACCAGTGGTGCATGTGCTGCTGATCTATTGTGTTAACATAACAGAAGAAACGAACATTTGCATCAACAGTTGACAGAACCATGCCATCAGAAATTCATGGAAATCATCTAACATATACACAGTGCAATCCTCACAAATCAAAATATATACTTTTCAGTACTTTTGAAAGTTGCTTAATAGAAGTTTGAATAAACTATTTCTGGACATGATTTAGTACAAAGAGCCACAGGGTTTTATGACCTATCAATTACAAATTGTGGCATGCAGACAGATAAATCTGAGAATTCTGATCCAGTATTCCCTCAAGATCTCCTCCTAAGTGTATGTCAAAAGTGAATAAGCACAGATCGGCCTCAAGCTGAGCTGTGCTTGCAGATTCCTAGGAATTTATGCACATAATTCCTAATCTAATGTATTAATTTATAATCGTTGTTGGCAAAAGCTTAAGAGGTTTCTTATTTTCATCTCTGTGCCCAGGAGAATTACACATGTAAGTTCTCAGATGAATATGAACAGAACATAACTTCAGCAAAGCAATTAGAATGTAGTTTTCTGTCTTTTAACATTGGTGAATTCAAACGTTTTCACATCACCACTGTAAGAAAAATTTGCATGTAAAGATGAATTTCATGTTGCCCTTCATTCCTGTAAAGGTCTAGCATCTTCCCACTGATGCAAAGTCCTAGTAAAATAGCAGCCTGTCTTAAGTACCCAGCTTTCTAAATTCATGTCATGTTACCTTGGATGTTTGTTATTGTAATTATGACTAACAGTAGTCATTCTGAAATACTTCAGGTCTGATCTAAAAGGGAAAAGATTAGACTGAAAAGAAGAAAGGACTTATTCTATAAAAATATTAGAGACATCTTCCACTAGCTTAGCAAGATGTGTACTAGCTGTGAAGCACAAAAGTAGTAACACTCACTCTGCCTCTACATTACCAAATGAAGGAACATGCAAGTGGGTTTAGGACTTTGATAGTAAATAAGTTACAATTTTCAGTTCAAATAACATACAGCATCTTAGTTTTTGTTCTTTATTGCATGTAAAAGCAAATTTTAAGAAACAAGTACATAATCAAATCTTACCTTGTGATAGCATCTAAAGTAAGCAGCACGCTCATCTGAGAACTTCTCCAGCCTCTTTGGACCTTTGCTTGAAGCTTTTTTGAATACTAACCAGCATCTCTGGTAAATCTAGAAATACAAGAAAGTAAATGTGGCATCTCCAAGGACTTGAATATCACTAGTATCTGCATTCAAGTTGAACTCTTAAATCAGCTATTACTCTGGAGCTACAATTAATGGCTCTCGGTAGCTTAAACTCAAGAGTCAGGCTAATGGGTTAGTTGCATCCCATTTCCTTTGGATTACAATACAGGCAAAGATTCTTATGAAGGCAGTGCATGCCTGCATGAAAGGTCATAGAAACAAAAAGCTATAAGCAGTATGCCTGCAAATACAGGGCTTCTAGGAAACAGCTTTTTAAAAAAGACACTATCCATTTTAATTAGTTTGATGATGGTTCCAATTTTGCATGCTTAAGGCAGATATGAAGAAACCTGGAACAGGCAGGTAGGAATGGAGTTTCTATCAGACGAGTAAAAGAGAAAACTATACACACCTATGTTGTATATACAGGTAAACATCAATACAGAGGGGATGTTACTGGGTAACAGATCATTTAACTGCAGAACCTAGGACCATTCTGACCACTGGGAATTTTGCTTTCAGAGTCTGCTATTTAAATTTAACTTATTGGGGCAGGTTCTGTCTGTGAACTGTGGCTGAAAAAAAAAAAAAAGCAATTTTAAGCCAATTCATTTCTCAAACTTCCACCCCACATTTCCTGCCATCTACCCACCTATTCAACTGTGTTGTTCTTTCTACTTCCCTGTTCTATTCAGAACCATGGCTCTCAGCTTAGGTAATTCTTAGTATACAGACAGTGTTAAGCATTACCAACTGTTTACAGCCTACGTTTAATCAATAATTCAAAAGCAACACTAGTAAGTTAGAAACAAAAATTTCCTATAGAATTAGTGCAATTTCAAGGAAGAAATCCTGATCAGCCACTGTCAAACAGAGTTAACAGCTCTGGCAGAGCTCCAGGGGAGCTCAAGTTCCCTGGAACTGATCAGTGACTAAACCCACGAAAAACATCTCACTACCTCCAACTGAGCCAGCACCCAAGGCAACTCCATCCTTTGAACCCTTGATGGGTTTCCAACTGCTCTGAGCACAAAATACAAGTTATACCTGTGAAAGGTAGCAATAATTTTGTTTCTGTGCCCAGAAGTGATTGCTAGCTGACTACTTGTGCTTCTTCCACTACTTTTAAGCTGTTTCTGTATAGTTGTTCAGGGAACCACATTATGCCCCCCAGTTTTATTATCCTGCCTCATATGTGGCCACTCACATTCCTGGCCCACTTGCCTGGGGAAGCACTTGGCACCCGGACAGGCTGCTTGGGTGCCAGGCAGCAGCTGAACCAATTAAGACTTTCGTCCAGTTTTCCAGCCAACTGGACACTCAACAGCATGTTCTGTGGACCACAAAAGCTTGATTTGAATGGTTTAAAAATTACTAGACACTGACCAAAATGAAAGCTTACCACCAAAGGAACTCAAATATGCACCAACTTATACTGGAAGAAAGTTTTGCCTCCTTCTGTGAATCTTGCTTGCTGAGTCCAGGTAACCTCATCAGATTTAAAAACAAAAGCTTTCCAAAACCTCCTGCGAGTTTTCTGTATGAATACTCAGTACTTTTGCTTTTCAAAAAAAGCTGTATTTTTAACTTGAGGAATTAAAGTCCCATAGAGGAGAACAGAATGGTTTTGTAATGCTTTAGGTGTTATTTAACATGCACTAGGACAACACAACCACAAAACGGAAACTACTCGGACGTTTCTTCTCAGAAGCACTTCAGGTCAGCAAGCATCTCAAAGCTGCAGCCGCAGTGCCGACCTCAGCAGCACACAGACAGTTAGGGGCAGACTAGGAGAATGATATTCTACACTAATAGGGAAATGAAGAATTTTGTTCTGCCTCTGAATGAGTACAGATCCCAGTTTGTCATCACCATTTCCAAACACCACTTGGAGCACAGGCACTATTGACAGACTCGACTCAAGCATGGTAATGACTAGAAGTTGGAGCTATTAGGGTTTTATTGTTGTAGTTTAAGAATTGACTATTGCAGCATCAAGACCAGTTCTTGGATTTAAATCTGAATTAGAGAAACGCTGGGAAGAACCTGCTACATTTAAGTACCTCCAAGGATGAAAAAGCCAAATTAGCCTCCAACATAAATACTGGACTTGAAATTTTGGTTCTGTTCCAGTATTACAATAATTTTTCTCTAATGGAAGAAAAAAAAAGAAAAAATACCTCTCAAGCTTGGAACATGTCATTATACCAGCACCATCAGCACAAGATTATCCAGATCAAAGTATTAAGGCAAGCACATTATTCATCATAATGTAATAACACTGGAAGAAAGCTAATCAGGTCATAACAGTTCTTCCCCTGAACTTCCACCTCCTTCTGTATCAGCTAGTCAACTCTTTATGCCATCTCCAGGCTAAAGGCCAGCATATTAGCTTTCTGCATTGCCAGGTTAAAGAGTTCTGCTGTTTATTTTGTCTTAGATTAGCAAAGTGGTTTATCACCCACTGCATTTGTAAATATAACTGTGGCTGAGACCTATCTCCCTACAAAATTATCTTCCACTGCTCATACTGTATTTCACAAGAAGCCTTTTTGCATCTAAGCAATGGCATTCTCAAAAGAGCTGCTCCTCCACAGCTGATGAACAAAGACCTACAGACTAATTGCCAGGTATTGAAACAAAGCTGGGTGCACCAGCAGATTAGCAGGCCACCCCTATTATTAGCAAGGCTCCATTGCTTGGTTAATACTATTGCCACCATATCTTGTTCAAAGATACACTTACACCAGCAGCGCTTGCTAACAATGAAGCATTGCTTACATAGCTCAGCACCGACTGGAAGCTTGCCCACGTTTTAAAGGGTAAACGGTATGCAGTGAATCCTTAATCCTCATAAGAATTACCTACAAAGTGACTTTTGTCTAATGAATTGCTATACTCATCTATAGTACAACTGCCTCTGTACAGACTTTAGTTGCATGTCAGTGCAGTACCTGGCCATCCGGTCTGGGTCCATGATTAGAGATCCTGGATGTTAAATTAACAGAGAGATGCTTAAGTCTCTTGAGAGAGTTTTCAAATCTCCAAAGTCATGCAAATAGAAAACCAGCTACTTTAGCGTGATTGATCCCTCAGTGGGGCTTTGTCTAGCATTTATAGCAACAAAAATACATATTTTCTTATTGGGTGTTTGGGTGGGTGGGGGTAAGACAAGTTAAAGAATTTAAATCAAAGGTATACATAAATTATATTTGTAGAATAAGGTATATTTGTAGAATAAGGTGCTGAAGGTCTGTTTAGCAGCTTTGAAAATATGAGATAGCCATCAACATTGATACTACTATCATAGAGTAACTTTTCTGTATCCCATATACCTTTATAAGGTAACATCTTAGATGAACATCCAGCACAGTCTCAACTGAACCTAAATTGCACAAGATCCTTAGCTTCCAGCAATGGCAGATTTAGTAGCTCCTGCCTTGCAGCACAGAGTTCTTCACCACAGTCAATGCATAGAAGAGAATGCCATGCTCGAGAACAGAGAGCTAATCACTACACCTATTATGAGCTACATACAGAGCAAGTAATTAGGTCTTTGATGCCATCATGATCTAGCGCAGGTCTGAGACTTGTCAATATTTCTCAAGTAGAAGACACGAACTGTTTACATTGGTGCTGCTGTCAAAACAGCTCTAACAAGAACCAGCTCCAAATGCTTAGGTGCCTATTCAGTCACAAACACTTAGCTCACTTATTCCTCAACTCAATGTTTTCCACACTACTACATGAATAGGAATTAGTTAAAAGTGCTGCTGTAATTACTTCCACCCCAAACACTTGCACTGACAATGATTAGATAATCCAAAGAGCAAATCAGGATCTCATGTGCTGCAGAGAACAGCAATAGCTCTCATTTGCATAACACCTCCTAAAACTTCCAAAGCACTCTCTGCAAGATCTTCTGAGAAGCTTAACCTCAGATTTAATTCAAGTATCATAAAAATTAACATCTACTTCCTATATTCTCTTCTGAAAGTTTCAGCTTCTAATAGGCCAAAAGCAGGCAACACCATAAAACTCTTAAGGAAATAACAACGTGACTGTATGAAATGGATCGTCTGAAACTCGGTGAGGTGATCTACTATGCATGTCCAAGGTCACATCAAATCAGTCAGCTCTATTTTGAGCTATTAGCATCAGCTGATGTAAGTCATTACCACAACTGAAGTCAAAGAAGGACCAACTTCAAAGGAATTACATGATCCAAGCATTTGGATTGCTGCCCCTCAGTGCTACATCTTACAAACTGGGCAGAATTCCTCAGCTATTCCCACTGCTTCTCCCGATGCTGGAAATACACTGCAAGGCAAGGAGCTATTGCCTTGAGCTGGAACTGGTCACTAGCTGGCTTAGTAACATGGAAAGGCTTCCCTCCAACTTTTCTGGGTTTAATGGTTCAGATATGGTTTGAAACACTCAGAGAAAGACGCTGAAACCAGAGTCTTGTCCTATGTGACTGCCCAAATCCCAGAGCTATTGTAAAGAACAGGCATGGGCAAGGAAGAACACCATATCCACCACTACCACTTCCAAACTGATCAGGAGAGAAAAGCTCTATTTCAAATGCCCAAAAAAATCTCATTCTTTACTTTATGAAAATTCTGCACAAGAACAGAAGTCTGAATTTATAAAAAACAAAGCTTGCAGCTCAGCTCAAGCTGATTTTCCCCTACCCACTCTATACTTTGGTTTGGCAACTGATCTAAAAAGAGTGCCCAGACATAGTCAAATATAATTTCAGCATTTGAGGGTATCTTGGGTCAGGTGGTAGAGGATTAAAAAAATTAAGGCAAAGTAAGCCTATTTTGCCTTAGGGACAAAGAATATCCCTGTTAAATAACAAACAAGTACAGGGTGGGAAAGAAAGGTCAAGGACATAGTACAAAGTATCATTTGGCAAATTTGTCTTGCAAACAAAGAGCAAGCCTTCAGGGAAAGCTGCCTTATTTTATTGCGTTGTATTTTTCTGCTCTGTGCCCGAAAACAAAAAATTCCAGCGGCATGCATTTATAGGGACTTGTTGTCAAACAACTTTACTTTTCTAAAAACAGTTAAAAAAGTGCCATTATGCAGCTTAGGATAACATTCAGAAAGTCTACGCTACTGCCAGTAATTTGACTTCTGCAACTCTGATAACCTGTAGAAACAGATAACTTAGCTAAAGGACAACTCAGTAACGTAAGCAATTTCTCACAGTATGGTCTCCTCAGCTTTTTTGCAACAAAAACGCACTGTCTTATCCAAGAAGACTGTAGACAGGTCACCACTGAAGTACTTCAGCTGCATATGGAAAATTAAGATGTTTTTGCCCTAAACTATGTCAGGGAACATCCATTGGGTTGGAATTGTATATACAAAATCCCTTCCAGCAGCAAGGTTCCCCCCCCACACACGTTAAGTCAGCTA